AGTGCAGAGGGAATGGAATATGAGGTATATAGAAATAATCAACCAACGGTTTACACAATTAGAGCAAGAAACATAATAGGCAACTATAATAATAGCTATAAAGATCGATAGCAATTTTAATTGGTTACCTGGATGTCAAATTACTGACGCACTATTATAATATCAAATTTAGGTGCGTCAAAAATTTTAGGATGATCTACGAATCCGCGCATATGGTATATAATGAATGCATGTACTCTGCCACATTCTTTATCTTCTGAACATGTCCTTCTATTCCAATTAATACAAATTTCTCTTCCATCATACCATGATGCATCTAACCAGCCAGGATGATGCCATTCGCTCTTGACTCTCTTTGCTGCAGTGACATCAAAGTTTTTTGCTTCTGCCTCAATGTCTCTGTTTAATAAAGTGCTATCCCGATTAATAGCTAATGCAATTCAACGATCTTCATCATATTTCATAACAGCCGCAAATTCATATTTTATACATAATTCATTTATGTGGTCTCTATATGCATTTAGCTCTTGTTCCCGGTTGTCATATAATATTAGTGTTGCATCTATATAAGCTTTAAAAGCCATAAGCCATTCAGATATATCTCTGAATGCTATGTTCCGTGCACGTTTCTTTATAGATATAGTGCCGCTTTCAGATGTATGTAACACTGTATCCTCACCTTCATATTTTGCATTATCAACGATATTTTTGTATATGAACTCCTGGAGGTTTATAAATGAACCAAAAGCCAGAGCTTTCCAGATTTTGTTTGTTAAGCTCGGTTTGTGTGGCAGTAACTCAATCATCTTCAGGCCTTCGGACCAGTTTAAAACCCACCACCTGCGGATTTTTTCAGTTATCATTGCATCCTTATTGCTTATCCCTTGTATATCTGGCGTTTGATTCACTGCCGTATAGCATAAAGCCGGGAATTTCCTATTTGTCAGCTTGTATTTCACTAATTTGATATTGCTTAAATCTAACTCCTCTGTTTGTGGATTTCCTGAGTTTAACTGAGCAATCAAATTATTGATTGTTGAAGATGAAGTGTAATTACCTTCTTGTGATTCCATGGCCCTATTTGCGTCAGTTGCTTGTGCTGTATGTGTTTGGTTCATCTCTGGGTGCTGACTTGTTGGCAGCTCATCGTTGTTAACTTGGCCGCTGTTGATGCTGTTGCCCATTATGTTTCTTGCTCTAATTGTGTAAACCGTTGGTTGATTATTTCTATATACCTCATATTCCATTCCCTCTGCACT